GTGTGTGTGTGTGTGTGTGTGTGTGTGTGTGTGAAAATGAAAGAGAGGGAGAGGGAGAAATGAGTAAAGTGGAAAATGAGAGCACACAGACAGAAGGGGAAAGAGAGAAAGATCTGTGACAAAAGGCCCTCATTAGTATTCTGGAGTGAGGAGTAATCCCCCTCCCTCCCCTCCAGACACACTCACACACACTTTTCTCCCCCTTCTTATTTTATTTGTTATTTCTGTTTTTTTCCTTCTGTCAAAAAATTCATTAAGATTCATTAAGAAATAAAAACTTTTTTCTCATCCTCTAAGCGTCTTTTTACTGACGATCTAAAGTTCATTTATTAGACGTGTTCTCCCTCTTTAAAGATCAGATTTGGGGAAATATAATCGACAATATCATGCTATAGTTTCATTGCGATGGAGATGCGGGGAAGTGTAAACTTCTTCAAGTGTTGATCAGATCTTCACCAAAAACTGTTGATTTACCTCTTTTGAGGCAGCATTGAACCTTTTTTTAAGGTAAACTGAAATAATAAACTGGAGCAAATATGCACAATAATAAACCTTCTGCCTGGTTTACACTGTGAAATAAACTGAACTCGATTTGTATCCACAGCTTTCAAAGCATTTTTAAATTTGTTTTATATGGTATGTTTTACAGAGATGGAAAGAACAAACTGATCATTGCTGACAAGCTGATTACTGATAAAATGTCCATCTATCTATCATCTTCCGGAAACCAAGATATTAAGAGAAACACTTTAAGGAACTGTGAAACTTTACTTCAAAATGCAGCACAAAAAGACAAGTCCCCTTTATTAACTTTTTATTTTGTAAATGATATATTCAAGATCGTTTATGCTACTGTCATGGATTTTTGTGTTTTGCAACCTCTGATTGTGCAAGGCAATGCTCTCATGATCTAATTTGCAGTGTGTCAGCATTTTCTGAAATATTGTTTAGGTTCAACAATACATGTAGTAAAAAATCAAATCAATTTAATAAGCTCAAATGTATAACTACACACATCTACACAATCGCTTTGTCCTGGAGAATTAATTCCATGGAGAATTATTACTTTACGAGTCTAATGATCATCGGGTCCAACTCTGATTTATTCTTTCGTATTTCCAGCGCACTTTGTTGAGAATTCATTTGCTTACCTTTTCAGCGCAGGCTGCAATCTAATTGACCCGTACAGAGAGGAGTTAGGAGCCTGGAGCCTCAGCCTTTCGTCCACATGGCTGCTTTGTTGTCATGCTCACAGGACACAATTGGGACTGTAACTCTGCAGGAGTAACTTCAACACCCTGCGTCCCACGACACTGATACACCGCTGAGGAGAATTATGGAGACAGTCACTGGCTCATCGGGCTCTTGTTTCGGACCCAAAGCCCGCTCTCACTGGCTACAAATTCTTCCCAAAGTGACAGGACTTGGCTTTATAACAGGCCCCTCTCTCACTGTTCCCCCTGAGCTCTCTCATTCCTGAATCCCTGTTGCGTCCTGAAAGTCTGTGTAATTGGTGTAATAATTGATCGCCACTCCCCACAGTCTCCCTTTTTCCTTTTTTTTTTATTAAAATGACACAAAGGGCCATGAATACATCATACAGGCAGCACACCAGATTCACGCAGAGAGAAATAAACACACATGTTCAGTGCCTCGCGTGCACATTCTGCACAAACGCACACAAGGACATGTGCACGCGCCAACAAATGGCCCTAACAAACCACCCCCTGCAGCAAACCCACACACACACAAGTACACACACAAACACTCTTTTAAGGGAAACCACAGAGCACCCTATTCATTTCTTCTGTGCCCGGCGTTTGCTGTGTCCAAGAGCGTCTGTACGGAGCATCCTGTTAAGCTCCGCCACATAAAGAGGGGCATCCGTGAGGTGAATACAACCCCATGGTTTGGCTCAGGAGAGGGTGACAAAGCATTATTTAATAGAAAGAGGACCATTGGTCAATGAGGACCATTGGTCACATGTGCAGAAGAGTCCACTTTGAACAAAGTGCAGGATCAGCCCTGAACTTTATTTTTGTGTTGTTAGTGTTGCCATCAAGATGTTCTATTTTAAAGCAACACTGGAGCCTTTCTGTATTACCCCCGACCGCCTAAAAAACAAGACGAAGAGGAAGAGGAAGTCAGTACGGTGGAAACTAAATAACCACTGTGAAACTGTGTAAAAGTTTTCTGTGTATTCAAAAGAAACGGAAAATATGTGTGATCGTGGCAATGCAAGCGTGTGGCCTTTGAAGAGGAAGGAAAAAGATAAGATTAAACCACGCTGTCTGAACTTTTCTTACGCAGTCAGTTTTTGCATGCACATCTATAAAGCTGCAGGAGCAAGAATCCTAAACTCAAAGCGTAGGCTGAAGCAGCATGAACGTTTATTCTTCTCATTTGTGGCAGTTAGTTGGTTATTTGGTCCTGCATTTTGCAGGGCATCTCCACACAAGGTTCTTGTACTTCAACATTAGTGTATAAGCGCAAGAATTATAAAGTGTGTGTTAGTTTATAAAGTTTAAAGTAAAAGTAGAAGTAATAGTTTTCTTCAAGGGTTGTTTTGTGGTCACAGTGACAATCAAGCTCTAAGTAATTTAGCCTGAAAATCCAGTTATTACAACACAACAACATTCGAGCATTTAGCCAAGTATTTCACTTTGTTAAAATAATGCATGCTAACCTGCACGTGCATTAATAGCCCCGCAGTCTAGAGTTTATCTGTTTTTGGCAGGTATATTATGTGCGGAAACTACCTTTATTAACTATGTAACTATGTGAGGAAAGTATCTGTCCAAATAAAGTTGCTGTACTGCACACTAATTATATGTAAGTTTGTGCACTGAACGTAAAGTCGACCCTCAGTGCTAATTTTACCCCAACCTGTATGAGCATCACTCAACCCACATTCAATTTCCTCCACAGTTCTTGTAAATTACAGTCAGTACTTCTGACTTGACTAGGAAGTTGGACCAAGCAAGGGGGAACGATAAAAATATGGCTTCCCTTTTACTTTAAAACTTTATCTTTATTATACCACTGATGTTTTTTTTCTCACTTAGTTAAAAAGTATTAGTATCAACATATTCTAATTGAAGATATGTCATCAAATATGGTACCTGCAAAAAAAGTAATGATCTCACCATCTTCTCTTTTTGAGCATGACTTTGATCATTTAAAACCTCAAGGTGCTGAAGTACTCGAGACATCGAGACATACATGCGTGCATGCATGTGATTCAGTTTCAGTATGAAAAGCTGTTAAAAAAAAATCAGCTGTTTACCGTTTTTTCTCTTCATGCGCATGCTAGGGAAAAAAAGTAGGGGTGTGTGTGTGTGTGTGTGTGTGTGTGTGTGTGTGTGTGTGTGGTGGGGTCAGTCAGTGCTCTTGGCTCATGTTAGCTGTTAGTGGTGGTGTTGGTGAACTTACCTCCGCTCTTTAGAAACTCTTTTTCTCACCCTCCTTTTTCTCTCTGCAGCCTTTTATCTGATTCTCTCTGCACATTTAGTTGCTGTTTTGCTGTTTTTCCCACTTCCTTCCGGTTCTTACTTCTGCTTGGTGAATTCACTAAGGTGAAAACACAGACATCAGGTTACAGAGAGTTTAAAAAAAACTTGTTGCCAATATTCATGACAGACTTACAAATTCAGGGTTTATTTAAAATGTAGACTTGGTTCATTCATTCATTATGTTTAGCATCCAGCATTATGTAATTATGATGCCGCAATAATAACAATAAAAATACATAATATCATACTATGTTTCATTCAATATCTGTCAGCTTCAGATGAGCTTTAGGCAATAGACAAATGGATAGATGGATGTTTGATGTTTTGTTTAAAAAATAGTAGCTGTGCAAGACCAATTACAGAAGTTTGACCTTTGCTGCAATTCCAGGTTTAGTCAGCAGAGGGAAACATATGACAGTATTTCCTACTATTGATCATTTGAGGAATGAGCTCCCTTTTAAGATAAAAAAAAAACAAGTCATTATAGTATAACTCACTGTGGTTTAGGTAACGGTGAGGGTTGAGAAGTGTGTGTGTGCGTGTGTGTGCGTGTGTGTGAGTGAGTGTTTGCGTGTGTGTGTGTGGTACACGTAATACTCATTTTCAGATGACCTTTATTTCTTCACACAGCCACATCACAGGGACCTGTTTCCCTTGCAAGGAAAAAACAGCAAGTTTCCATAAGATAAAGTTAAGGTGAAAATGTGCTTAACAGGAACAGGAAGTTTGGGTAATGACCTCAATATCTAAGGTACTATATGTGAGTTTACAGCAGACATTCAGGCCACCAGTTGCTATGCTCTTTGCAGGCCCAATCACTCACACCTGATAGTATTTCATCTCCTCAACAACACTTTAGATACATTGCAGAAATATATATGTATATACAGACATATATATTACTACAATGTATCTTAGATGCAAGATTATTGTACAGGGAGTGCAGAATTATTAGGCAAATGAGTATTTTGTCCACATCATCCTCTTCATGCATGTTGTCTTACTCCAAGCTGTATAGGCTCGAAAGCCTACTACCAATTAAGCATATTAGGTGATGTGCATCTCTGTAATGAGAAGGGGTGTGGTCTAATGACATCAACACCCTATATCAGGTGTGCATAATTATTAGGCAACGTCCTTTCCTTTGGCAAAATGGGTCAAAAGAAGGACTTGACAGGCTCAGAAAAGTCAAAAATAGTGAGATATCTTGCAGAGGGATGCAGCAGTCTCAAAATTGCAAAGCTTCTGAAGCGTGATCATCGAACAATCAAGCGCTTCATTCAAAATAGTCAACAGGGTCGCAAGAAGCGTGTGGAAAAACCAAGGCGCAAAATAACTGCCCATGAACTGAGAAAAGTCAAGCGTGCAGCTGCCAAGATGCCACTTGCCACCAGTTTGGCCATATTTCAGAGCTGCAACATCACTGGAGTGCCCAAAAGCACAAGGTGTGCAATACTCAGACACATGGCCAAGGTAAGAAAGGCTGAAAGACGACCACCACTGAACAAGACACACAAGCTGAAACGTCAAGACTGGGCCAAGAAATGTCTCAAGACTGATTCTTCTAAGGTTTTATGGACTGATGAAATGAGAGTGAGTCTTGATGGGCCAGATGGATGGGCCCGTGGCTGGATTGGTAAAGGGCAGAGCTCCAGTCCGACTCAGACGCCAGCAAGGTGGAGGTTTGGGCTGGTATCATCAAAGATGAGCTTGTGGGGCCTTTTCGGGTTGAGGATGGAGTCAAGCTCAACTCCCAGTCCTACTGCCAGTTTCTGGAAGACACCTTCTTCAAGCAGTGGTACAGGAAGAAGTCTGCATCCTTCAAGAAAAACATGATTTTCATGCAGGACAATGCTCCATCACACGCGTCCAAGTACTCCACAGCGTGGCTGGCAAGAAAGGGTATAAAAGAAGAAAAACTAATAGCATGGCCTCCTTGTTCACCTGATCTGAACCCCATTGAGAACCTGTGGTCCATCATCAAATGTGAGATTTACAAGGAGGGAAAACAGTACACCTCTCTGAACAGTGTCTGGGAGGCTGTGGTTGCTGCTGCACGCAATGTTGATGGTGAACAGATCAAAACACTGACAGAATCCATGGATGGCAGGCTTTTGAGTGTCCTTGCAAAGAAAGGTGGCTATATTGGTCGCTGATTTGTTTTTGTTTTGTTTTTGAATGTCAGAAATGTATATTTGTGAATGTGGAGATGTTATATTGGTTTCACTGGTAAAAGTAAATAATTGAAATGGGTATATATTTGTTTTTTGTTAAGTTGCCTAATAATTATGCACAGTAATAGTCACCTGCACACACAGATATCCCCCTAAAAACAAACTAAAAACTACTTCCAAAAACATTCAGCTTTGATATTAATGAGTTTTTTGGGTTCATTGAGGTTGTTGTTCAATAATAAAATTATTCCTCAAAAATACAACTTGCCTAATAATTCTGCACTCCCTGTATGAATAAGTCCAAGAGCAAGGAATTTTAAGAAAGTCCTCATGAAAACTTATCTGATCTGGTGTCCAGACAACACTTATAATACCTCTGGCACTGCTGCTAGAACCACAGTTGCTCAGTATGAGAATTTTTCTTTGAATTCCAAATCATTACCTAGTGAAGTATCAGCGTCCCCTACTGAATCAGCAGCTTTTAAGACTGGAGCGCCCCCTACTGGTGGCCAAAGGCACCAACCCTCAATTTATGCTCGTTGGTGTGTGACTTCATTGTTAAAGTTTCATGAAAAATAATGAAAGCAACTATAATAACCACTTTATTCCACGACGACTCCAGTCTTTAGGGATGCATATGATACTACTTATTATTTTCTTTATTTTGACAAAATAACAAGTTGATTATCTAACTATTCAAAACTGCCATCATTAGTGATATGATGCTTTTAACCCCAATGTTGTGTTAGGTCAAATTTGACAACTTTAAAAGTTTTACCTCCAAAAAATGTAGTTGACT